CTAGAATTACTATATAGACCATGCTGTCCTCAAACTCAGATTCATCTGTCTCTGCCTTCTGAGTTCTGGGATTATAGGCATGTGCCACCACCAACACTGGCTACCTCTTCCTCCCTCCATCCCCAGAGACACTCCCTCCACCCCCAGAGACAGTCTTATTCATGTAACTTCTGCTGCTCCTGTCTCAGCCTCCTGGGTGCTTGGCCTTCAGGGATACACTAATATCCAGCTTTAAAATGTCTGTTTCTAAGATATCTATTTACACTGTCCTAAAAGTACACAACATTTCTGTAGCAGCGACAGAGTCATTGGTTCACCACGGCCAACTCACACCAGCAGGTAATCAATAATCGCCATACTGGTAAGAGTTTGTCAGAGTGATAAAGGGAGGAAGGGACAGGGAGGGGAAGCTGAGAGGAGGATAACATTTGAAATTTTAAAAAAAAATGTAACCAATAAAAAAATGAAAAATATCTCTACATATATTGGACTTTGGATAATAGGATAATTTTGAGTTCCAAAATATGAATCTGGGTGGTTATATCTGGCAGCTGTATAGAAGCCCTAACCTCCTCCAAAGAGAGGAAAAGAAATCTTAGTTCTTAGTTGAAGACAGATTATCCTAGGGTGCTGAGTCCTGCTTGGCCATGTGTAAGGGATGGCATGACATGGCTCCTGCCCCTGGAACAGAGCCAGCAGGATATGAGCCTCTTCAAGTGTGGATGGTTGCTGTGGTTTAAGGCTTGTTTGTATAACAGTATACATATTTTCATGTTCCTCCTTTGAGGAATGTCCTCTCTGCCCATGTTAGTGACTCCATGATAATCAGAGACAGCATGAGTCCAGGAGTCAAGATCATGTCTTTATCTCAGCAAAATGATAAAATGCATTGACCATCAGGACAGTTCTTAAGGGTGTGGGAAAGAATGCTGAAACCATGAGTTTGAAAATACATACATTCTCAACTATGCAAAATGTAAGGATATAATATAAATTGTAGAAGGAGCTTCTCAGATCTAAAGGAACAGAGGCAGCTGCACTACGAACCAACTTGTCAGAGATACTAAGGGATAAAGAGATTTAGGGAATGGTGATCTCATGGCAATATCCCACTGTGGGTCTGCATTTTTACCTTGCCACTGGGGTGTTGAATTGCTTGCTGACACACAGCTCAGGGGAGGCAAAATGCAGTCTAAGATAGGGGTCCCAGCCCATGTTTTTCCAGGTGAAAACGGCAGGGGCCTGGGATGGAGGCTGTGGCTCTCACAGTCCAGGGCACCCAGATACCACTGAGAACCAAGAAGAGTAGAGACTTCCTCCCCACAACTCTCCCACCCCAGTCTCCACCCCCAGCGGTTTCTGATAAAGGAAACAGTCTTTGCTTGGCCAAACTACTTTATTCACGACAGATGAAGATGTATAAGACTCAGGGTGAACCAGAGATTAAATACTCTATGCAGGAAGGGATATCCAGGAAGAGAAGTTCAGTGGCTAAACACTTGGAGCCTATCTAGACACCTCATTAGCATGAAGAACTCTAAGTTCTATGCTACCTGACTTGTTGTCACGGTCTTCTTAACAGGGTACTGCGGTCACATGCTTCAGGACAGGAAAGCTGGTTGGGAGCTACTCCTGTTGTTCTCAATTATAAGTTTTGTCAAGGTTCTAAACTTTGCTATTACCCTACCAGTTCTGCCTGGTGGCCCAGTCCACTGCCCCACATGCCACCTAGCTAGGTTTTTGCTTATGCTAACAAAGGCAGGTGGATTCCTGAGTGCATGGTCAGTCTGGGACAGAGCTAATTTAGGTCCAGGCATGGTCTGATGGCAATTTCAGAGCAAGGTGGGGCAAAGTTCCACCCAGCGATCTTACAATCTATTCTTCTGTTTGTGGTTTCTTTCTTTCTTTCTTTCTTTCTTTCTTTCTTTCTTTCTTTTTTTTTTTTTTTTTTTTTTTGTTTTTTGAGACAGGGTTTC